GGTGCACGCTGGGACTCGCGGCCGGCCGACGCTTCGCCCGCCACAGCGCCCCCAGCGGCCGGGAGGAGCGAACGCCGCCTGCGGGAGCCGCCCGAGGAGCGCGAACCTGCACGGACGTCCAGCCCACGCACTTGAGCGCAGGTTAGAGGACAGGGTCTTTCCCGTGGCGCAAAGGAACCACGGACTCACCGAGAGACTAACACCTACGGGAACATACCAGACAGAGGTGGCACCTCTCCTTTCTGTTTAGACACTATGATTCCTGGAGCGCCCTTAATCCCAGCTGATGGATTCGGGTAGTCTGGGACCTCACGTCGTGCTACAAAGACAGAGCATTGATGTACGCCCTGAAGCTTTTGCCGCTCGACACGAGGGATTGGAGCAAGTGGCTTTTCAAATTCCCTTTGAGCCGAGAGACTCTTGTCGCACTCGGGGCACCGGCAGGGCCTCCCGCCGCCGTGGGTTCTCCCGCGCTCGGCGAGCTGGCGCTGCGGGGCGCAGGCGAATGGCCTCTGGGCCTGGTGCCCGCGCTGGTGCACCCCCTCGGAGGCCTTCCAGAGGGCGCCCCTGCCGCAGCCGGGGCGCTGGGAAGGCTCGTGCTCGGAGAGGTGAGAGTGTCGGCGGAAGGTCCGGCTGCACTTTGCACACTCCGGCTGCACACCCCTTGGTGTGCACCCCGAGGTGCTCCGTGAGCCTCGACTGCCGCTGAAAGGTCCTCTTGGGGAGCTCCTCCCACTTGCCCGGGGCTCGGCCTTGGCGACAGTCTCCTAACCCAAAGTTTCATATAAGTATCAACTATTTTTCATTCTACAGCTAAACCAAGGAGATAACAAGAGAAAAATACCTATGAGCTTGAGGCACGGGCATACATCAGAGCAATTAGGCAAGAGGAGTCAATTAGGGGCATAAGAGGAAATAAAAAAGGAAGTGATACAGAAACTGTGGTACATCCATAAGGTGGAATACGACTTACACATCAGCAAAAGAGTCCAGCTATTGATACAAGCAACTTGTGTGATTCTCAGTCATTATACTAAGTGAAGGAAGCCAGTCTCAAAGGGGACTTGGTTTTACTTTCTCTAGATTCTCAGTGTCCGGGATAAAATCTTCCATCAGGTTCAAACCATCACTGACTGTTATGGAAGGGATGCATAGCATGAATCCCCAACACTCTTCAGAGAAGGGAACATGGCTCATCCTTCTATTGTATTGATCACAATGCATGGTATTAATCAAAGACCTTCTGTCTGCCTTCTGCCCTGGGAGACAAATGGATAGCACAGCTCTCATGATTCACGTAAGAATCATGAACTTTCTGTGATACTTCTCTTATTCCTGAACGTTTGCTGACTTTCATTCTATGTAAAAGCTCAACTAATGTGTGTTTGGGGAAGTAAGGGAGAGGTATATGTCCTATTTGGGGCAAAACGGGGTGAGGCATGGAGAAGCCAATTTCAAAATGGCAGAGCAAGGACAGTAGCATGTGACCACCAGGACACACTGGTAGAACATGGACATGTGGTTTTGGAAATCCTAAAACTTATTATGGTAGGAGGACCCGGTAGAAAAGGGATAGACTTCAACTCTTTATTCACATATTAAAGGCATTTTCCCCAAAAAAACCCACAAAAGGTCTCAGAAAACTTGGCTACAGATAACTTTTATCAGCACGTGATGAATGAATCCAAGGAGAATGTGCACAGAGAAGACAAGAACAGGGTTCAAACATTCAGGGGAAATGACTGGAAGATGTCTTAGGGGTAGACCAAGCCAAGCTTGGAAATCATCTTGACATTCTACCAAAAAGTGAAATTCATCCCTGTGCTCTTAGAAGTATTAGTGGTATTTCCCAAGATAAAAGAAATTCCACTTCTGCACAAATATGAGAGAATAGAAAAGTTTTATTACAGCAAAAATAAGCAAACAATTCAAGTGGGTGGGGCAGCAGTGTGGGGATGACCCCCCAGCAGTAAGTAATCAAGGTGTGAGGTGATGGAGGTGCGGTGGCAACAGCTCGTTTCCCATGAAAAGGAGAGAACTAGTTCTTCAGCTAAGTGGTTATGTTGAGGTTGGTCAAGCACCTTCTACAGGAACATCTGAATATACCAAACATGGTTCTCTTGTCTGTTGAATCTCTGTTCCTGGCTCTTCCTGGCATTTCACTTAGTTGGGTTCTGAGAGATCTGTTTTCCAGACAATTCTTTGTTCTTCAGTGGGCAGATGACAGGGAACAATTTCAGTCCTTCCATAAAAATGTAATTCAATGAATTTGCGTTCATCCAGAAAGAATTCGGTAAGCCTCTCTAGCTATAGATTATCTAAGGCAAAGAACTGACTTCTCTGACCACATGGGTAAAATGAGCAGCATGGTCCTAAAGGCAACAATGAGGAGTAGAAGCCACAGGAGGAGCTTATCTGCCAATCTAGACAGAATCCAGAGGAGAAACAGGTACTGGGAAGACACAGAGAAAGCTTGGGGTCATGGTTCTTGGTTCCTGCATTCCTTTTCTCTGTGCGTCTGAGAAAGTGTTCAGAAGATAGGGAGCATCCGTACTTTCTGCTTTGGACTTTTAGAAATTGGGAATGTGTCCCTTCCCTCGTCAGTCAACCAAACCGCTACCTACTGCCAACAGGGAACTTGACTTAACTCCCTAGTTCTGAGAGCCTGAGAGACAGAAACAGAGAGCTCTGACTTTAGAAATGAGTTATACGGGGCAGGGACACATGAAAATTTGCAAGAAATATAGACATTTTTAAAAATTAAGCTTAAAGTAATTTGAATATGCTTACAAGAATGAAGCCAGCATATTGCAAAATTTTCAGGATATTCTCAATTATCTTGTTCTCCTTCTCAACTTCAGCTCTGGCATTTTGTTGCTTGAAATCATAGTCTTTCTCCCTTTCTGCCAATTCCCTCGCCATTTCTGCCTTTCCCTTTTCCTTCTCTAATTCATCCTCTAGTTTCCTGATTTTCTCCTCATACTCAGCCCTTAACTTACTCTGCGCTCTCTCCAGCTCTGCTCTGTATTGTTCTTGTATCACTTGGATCTGTTTCTGAATCTCCTCCTCAGCCCTTTGGTACATCTTATTAGTGTAGAATCCCCCCTGGTTCTCCTTCACCATGCGCTGGACCAGGTCCAGCAGCTGCGCCCTCTGAGCCTCCTGCTCAGCCCCTGTCGCCTTATTGTTGAACACACAGTGGCGATCCCTGAACTTCTTCATCAGATCCTGAATGCCTTCTGGAGCTTCCTTTAAGTAATCTTCGAACTTCATGCCATCCAAGTCATCTTTCCGGGTGAATAAGAGAATCATGTATTGCCTGGCTTTGGGTCCAAACATTGTCAGTACCTTCTCAATGGCCTGTTTCTCTTCCTTTGTGTGCCGGCCCAGGGGAACCACCATGATCACAGCATGAGGCCCCGGGGAGGTCAGGATGATGCAATTAATAATCTCCTTTTCTGTGTGAGCATCCGGTGTCTCGGTGTCGAAAATGCCAGGNTCTAGCATAGTCTTTCTTCCTGTCTGCCAATTCCCTCTCCATTTCTGCCCTTCTCTTTTCCTTCTCGACTTTGTCCTCTAGTTTCCTGATTTTCTCCTCATACTCAGCCCTTAACTTACTCTGCGCTGTCTCCAGCTCTGCTCTGTATTGTTCTTGTATCACTTGGATCTGTTTCTGAATCTCCTCCTCAGCCCTTTGGTACATCTTATTAGTGTAGAATCCCCCCTGGTTCTCCTTCACCATGCGCTGGACCAGGTCCAGCAGCTGCGCCCTCTGAGCCTCCTGCTCAGCCCCTGTCGCCTTATTGTTGAACACACAGTGGCGATCCCTGAACTTCTTCATCAGATCCTGAATGCCTTCTGGAGCTTCCTTTAAGTAATCTTCGAACTTCATGCCATCCAAGTCATCTTTCCGGGTGAATAAGAGAATCATGTATTGCCTGGCTTTGGGTCCAAACATTGTCAGTACCTTCTCAATGGCCTGTTTCTCTTCCTTTGTGTGCCGGCCCAGGGGAACCACCATGATCACAGCATGAGGCCCCGGGGAGGTCAGGATGATGCAATTAATAATCTCCTTTTCTGTGTGAGCATCCGGTGTCTCGGTGTCGAAAATGCCAGGTGTGTCCACTACGACAATTTCACTCTCATTCCACATGCTGCTCCCTTTCTCACAGACCTTGGTGATGGATTTTGCTGCAATGCTGGAATAAAACGCTTTCTTTCCAAGGATGCTGTTCCCTGTGGCACTTTTTCCTGCTCCAGTCTTACCCACTAAGACAAGTCTCAGTTGTGAATCTCTAGGGTGTTGGTTTCCAAGCCCTGGGACATCAATAAACAAAAGTCACAGGGTTAGGACTGACCTCCAACCCTTTCCTCTTTAAGTTCCCCGCCCCTCATTGCCCTTCTCTATTGCCCACTCGGGCCCTATCCCATGAGCAACCTCTGCACTCATAGGAGGTCTGTAGAACCCCTGGGCCTGGCCTCTCTCCTGCAGGACTCAGGTAATGCTGGGCACTTCTCAGGAGTCCCTTGGGCTGCTCACTCTGACCTCTGGAAACTAAGAGCCCCCAGATTAGGGTGCAAAATGCTTCAAGTGAGAAAACTGAACCCCTGCTGGTGCCTGTTCTTTATAAACTAATGACCGAAGTAACACAAAGTCTGACTTCAGGGCATCACAGTGGAAGATCCCCCTCCCCCAATTTATATTCAAAATGGAAGATTTTTCTCCCCATTAAGAAGCCAGGTAGGCGGTGATTCAAGCCATCTCACCCTTGGAGGGGAGGAAGGGGCACACAGGCAGAAAGACAAAGTGTTCCTTTAAATTTCATGTACAGCCATCTCCTCAGGAATTCTGACCCATGGGAAACAAAATACATTTAAAGTTACCACCTTATCATAGAAATCGAATGAAGTTTTCCTATTTTAAGTTAATATGTTGAAGAGGTATAGCCAGTATTACCAGATCCCTGGGGTTACTATAAAACCCCTTGATAAATCAACAACAACATCAATAATAATAATAACTCATGCAGAGTAGCATCAGTAGAGTTACACTTTCTTAGTGTTCCTTGGATAGGCATGTCCACTTCCTAGGACAATGGGAAGTTAAGAACAAAACAGCAGAGCCTATCACCTGACTGATGTTTCAAAGGTAACTGTGTCTTAAGTTAACACCAAATCATCTAAATAGCTCCTTCCCTGTTTCTATTCAGTAATTTTCTGCTTATCTCTAATGTGTCTATGAAGCTAAAGTCTTCAGGATTTGTGAGGCACAGACTGGGACCATGGAAGACAACTGACAACCACATCTGAGAGCCTGTTTCTCCCAGAAGGAAGAGCCTGTCAGCACAGCCCTTGACAAAGACTGATTCCTGCAGGAGGAGTCCTGTATGACCACCATCTGTCTCTGCTTTCAGTCGATGCAAACACCACCACCCTGACAATACTGCAGACATGATTATAAACTCCATTTTATTATTCAGAGATATCATCACCATTCTCCCTTGATTCCTGTCTTCCCCTTACTTTCCAGATCCCACCCATGGGCAAGTTCTCCTGGCTCCATCCACAAATCTGACCACTTCTCTCCATTTTGAAGACCATCCTAGTAACCAAAGCTACCATCACCACCCATGCCTCAGCAGTCCCCTAACTGACCTCTAGTTCCATCATGCCCTCTTCTATTCTGTAAATTGGAATGATTTTTAAAACATCAAACAGAAGAGAGATTTAGCAGAACCTCCCACTCTGGTTTCCATAAAATCAATAGTTATTCCCCATCTCCCACCTACTTTATGGTGAATCTGTTCCTAATCCAGGGATGAGAAAAACCATCCCTAAGGCTGAGTTTGCACATTTGAAAAGCAGAATCCTGGGATGAGAGAAGTAAATTTCTAGAAGCTGAGAGCACTGGCTACAGGATGGCTAAGATTAAGGGAAACTGCAGGTAAAAGTTCAGATTATTATTTAGTTAGCTTCACAATGGAAGACTCCAACCTAAAGATATCTTAGGGCATTAGTTACAATTAGGGAAGGAGTAGGAAAATCATGGGAGGTGAAATGAAAATTCACCAAAGGCCAGCTCCAACACTGCAACAATTCCCAATGCTAACAGAATACGCAAGTCTTCCTGACAGATTGGAGATTTGGCCATCAATTCTTCCCATCTCTGTGCACATGCCTCTTTGGGATGTGTTTCTGTACCTCCTCCCACAAGGTGCTAAGTCTGTTTCTCTGCCCCTTGCAGCTGGGTGGGCCTTATGACTTGCTCTGGACAACAGGGCAGTGGAAGCATGATGCAAGTAGACTCTGAAAGTGCTCATGCTCTGTGTGGCTTGCTGTATTCTGCTCTTCAGAACCCTGTAACTGCTTTATGAAGAGGCTGGGACTAGCCTGCTTGATGAGGGACACAAAGCCCCTTTATCCCTGTCACCCTGTCCTGCCCAAGAGCCTGCTAACTACCAGACATGGCCGTGGGGCTATCCAATTCAAAATTGTCCTTTTGCTGGATCTTGAAAGTATCATGCTAAATGAAAGAAGTCAGATGACAAAAGGTCAAGAACCATATGATTTCAATCACATATGGGGTATAAAATAGAAAGCAACAAGGAAATAAACAAAACAATAAACAAACTCATAGTCATAGGCATCAATATGGTGGTGACCACAGTGAAAGGGGTTGTGAGGAGTTGGAGAGGGTAAAGGTGGTGAAATATATGTTGATGGAAGGAGACAAGGCTTTGTACAATGTAACACATAGATGATGTATTATAGAATTGTACACCTGAAACTTATACAATATTATTAATCAGGGTCACCCCAACGAATTTAATAAAATAAAAAGATTATCCAGTTGTGTGCTGGACCCCCAGATAACCACCTGTGCATGAGTGAATCTGGCTGAGATGAACCCAGTTGGCCCAGACCCAAGAACTGCCCAGTGACCTGCCAAATCCAGAGCCAAAGAAATGGCTTAGGTGTTAGGTGACTAAATTGTGATTTGGTGGGGTGTGGTGCCAAACCAGCAAAAGTTAAACTGATATTGTAGATTTCTAGAGATAAGCGAAAAGAAGGGTTATGTGAGAGACTGAGTGAGCCAGTCTGTTGACTTTGTTGGTCATAGTGAGGCCACCTGAGCAGGGAAATGAAGGACCTGAATAAAGACTCAATTCCTCTCACGTTCCTCCTTCCCAGTCCTCTGTCAGGCTGAAGAGAGGGGCAGAGAAACACCCAGAGAGGCTACAGCTGGCCCTTCTGCTGTGTCCACATTGTAGGAAGTAGGAAATCAGAAACCTTGGCAGTTTGGGCTCAGTCGGGACACTTTAACCTCTCTTCCTCTCAGAGGTTACTCTACATCATGAGTGTAATGATAGAAGGAAAAAAAGCCTCTCTTTTTCTTTGCAGTGGCCTTCCACAATTATGAGAAGCACCTGGTAATTAAACCCCAAGATTGTTGGCTCCGCTGATTCAAACAGCCCTTCTGTTCAAACCACAGACAAGATAAGCTACTCTCAAGGCTACATTCTTGCATCCCCCCCTCCCTTCTGTTTCCACAGCTCAGGGATAATTCACACCACGGAGTCTGAGTTATAAAGCCCCCCCTGCTCCCCCCCATTCAACAGGCTTCTTTTACACTCTTCATAACTTTTGCTCTGAGCATGTTTTATAGGCCTAGGTAAAATACTGATGGGACACCTTCCTAGGGTACCTGACAGACTGTGGCCTGGAAAGCAAACAAAGCACTTTTCAAGAAAACCTCCCTAGTATCTGCCCAACTTCAAGGCAACCCAAACCCCTCCTTTCCTTGTCACCTAGCAACAGTACCTGCTTAAAACCCTAGGCCACCCTTTATTTTTTGCCCTTGTATTGATTAGCATGCATTAGCCCTTTCCCTCCTTCAGGGGCAGGAAAGTAAAATAAACTCCCTCCCCGCATCTATCTCTTTTTTCAGGTGTGAATTCTTTCACAGACCACATTGGCTAAACTCTAACAGTAAGGAGACAGTGCAGAAGATTGAGAGTAAAGAAAGAGACAAGTCAATGACAAGAAAGTAAGAAATGGAGTTGGAAATACTTTGTTGTTGCTCAGATGGGAACTGAGAGGCAGGACAGAAGAACTCCCTGCCAGGTCCCCAGTATTCAGCCTGGCCTGGGGAGCCTGAGTCTCTCTCACCATAGCTGGTATTGGATTCACTGACGTTGACACTGGTACTGTGGGATTCAGCTGCCATTGTAGTTTGAATTCCTGTAGATAAGAAACATAACTCGTTTGAGGGAAAGGGAGAGTAATTTGAAATTAAACCCTCACGCAGCCAACAGTTCCTTCTTTCCTATAAACTTGCTACTTGATTTCACCTCCCCTATTTCCCAGCACTTCTCCTCAACTCCCCATTGTCAGTTTCATTCTCGAGTGTTGTTTTTTTCCACACAAATATGAATGTTTCAAGTGCTTCCTCAGCTCTGGTACTAGGCACCCTTCCCCCCTTCATTCAGGGAACTATTGCTTTGAATGCCCTTTGTAAGTCCTCTGTAGCCTAGACCTTCCTTGGAATTCTGAACTTTTATATCCCATCCAGCTTCTCCACTGGGCAAGTTGTGGGCATCTCAAACAGAACTGGGCCAAAATGTAACCCTTGACCTCCCCCAGCCCCAGCCTGTCCTGCCTCCAGATCATATAAATGACTCTGTCCCCATTTCAGTAGGTGCCATCGCCATTATGTGCACCCCTATGTTCATTGCAACGTTATAGTAGACAAGATACAGAAGCAACCTAAGTGCCCATCGATTGACCAGCGGATAAAAACTCTGGTACCAATATACTGTGTAATATTACTCGGCCATAAAAAAAAAGAAAATTTTACCATTTGAGACAGCTTGAATGGGCCTAGAGAGTCTTATACTCAGTGAAATAAGTCAGTCAGGAGAAAACAAACACCCTGTGATTTCAATTATGTGGAATCTAAATGACAATAGAAATTAAACCAAAACAAAGCCGAAACAGACTTTTAGATTCAGATAACAGAGTAATGGTTGCCAGAAGGGAGCAGGTTTGGGGGCCTTGGTGAAAAAAGGTAAAGGGATTAAGAAGTACAGATGGGTAGATACAAAATAGTCATAATATGCAAAGTACAGCATAGAGAATATAGTCAATTATATTGTAATATCTATGTGTGGTGCTAGGTGGATATATAATGCAATCTACTCAGCTATAAAAAGCATGAAATATTGCCATTGGAGTGTATCACGCTAAGTGAAATAAGCCCGATGGACAAAGGAGAAGAGCCATATGATTGCACTTGTATGTGGGACATAAAAACAGAAAGCAACAAATGAACAAGACAAACAGACAAACAGAAACTCATAGACACAGACAACAGTATGGTGGTTACCAGGTGGAAAGGGGGTTGTAGGGAGAGATAGAAAAGGTTAAACAGGATTAAATATATGGTGGTGGAAGGAGACCTGATTTTGGCTAGTAAACATACAATACAATACACAGATGATGTATAATAGAATTGTACAGTTGATACCGATGTAATTTTATTAACGAATGTCACCTCAAGAAATTTAATGAAATAAAAAAATAATAAAAGAAATAAAATTACTACCTTGGAAATGAAAAGGGATATATATTATTCAAAAGTATGAAAAATAATCAGCAAATATATCTTAAGCAATAAGGAAATAATAAAAATAAGAGCAGCCTAAGAACTGGGAGAAAGTGCAATTCACACATCTTATAAAGAACTTGTAAATATATTTGATAAAGGACTGGCAAAGAGAAGATTATACAAAGAATTCCTACAATCCATTAATAAAAAGACAAGATAACCCAATTTAAAATGGGGAAAAGATATGAATAAGCACTTTTGACATAAAATATACCGTATGTAATTAGAACAAAGAATTGGTTGAATTTTTGCATATGTATAGACCAGTGAAACCATCACCACAAACAAGATTATGAGCCTATGGGTTTCCTCATGCCCTACAGTAATCCCTGCCCACCCCACTTACCCTGCCACCTCCCCAACCCCCCCATCCAGCAACCACTTGTGTGCTATGAGCAGATAGGCCTGGCAATCATTGCATGGTGTGAACATGTGAGGGGCTGAGGCCCAGACTCAGAGCTGACATCTTCCACTTCTGTGGAGGAGATGATGATGGTGTTCAGCGACATGGCAATTTGCTGATTCTAAATCCCAACTTAGGAAGAATTTTAGAAAATCAAGATGCTTTTTAACAGGAAGAAAGAGCTTGAGAATCATTGATTGCCTAAGACACTCCATTTTTTTATATTTGTTTATAAATATAGATGAGACTGCTCTTTTAAAAGCTTATGTTGGTTGGAAACCTCCTGGAAGTAATCTCAAACCGGCCCCCATAGTTCCTTGTACTATTCTCTTTGTGTGTAATAAAATGACTACTGAATACTCTATACCGAGCACCCTGATTAATGTTTTGTACATGATCTCATTTACTCCCCCAAATAGCCTGCGAAAATGCTAATTTTACTTTTCTAACCTTTTAAGCAGGAATATTGATGTGGCTGGAAAATGTTGAGACTCTTGCCCAAGGTCACGGTGCTAACAGGTTCTGGGCAGAGCAGGGATCCAATTCTAAGTCTGTCTGACCTACGCCTTCCCTCCTAACACTGCACACCACGGCCCCTTCTCGGTTTCCTCTCAGGCCCATGACTCTAAACTCCCATCACATCACAGCTGCATCAACACAGGGCAGGGAAGAGGGGCCACACTCCTTCCAGACAGGGAACTGGCAGGGAGCCTGTGACTAGGGAAGCTAGCAGGAGGGTTTCACATACACTGTTCCTGCAGAGCAGCCCACCTCCTCCCCACAGCACCCTCCTCACCTCATGTGTCACTTTACTGGGGACACATCTCGTCTCTGCTGAACAATGGAAAGGATTCAGCAAACTGCAGCCTAGGTTTCCTCTGCCCTTAGGGACATGGGCAACCCCTGGAGTCCCCACACTCCCTGGGATCATGCTTCTATTTCAGTAAAAGGAGGGAGTTAGAGTGGGTGGTCTCTAAACCACCCGTGTGGTCTCTAACAGCCCGGCCGGGCGTGGTTCAGTGGTTGAGCATCAGCCTAGGATCCAAGAGGCTGAGGTTCGATTCCTGGTCAGGGCACATGCCTGGTTGCGGGCTCGATCAATAACTCTCTCATCATTGATGTTTCTGTCTCTCTCTCTCTCCCTCTCCTTTCCTCTCTCTGAAATCAATAAAGATATATTTTTTAAAAACAACCAACAAACCAGCTCTAACACCTGCCTTGGGGATACTAACTTCCACTCCAGGGCAAAGGAAGGCTCATCAGGCAGTTCTCAATGTCTGTCCCAACAGCAAGTGCATGAAGGGGCACCAGTCAGTACACGTGTCCTGCAAATAGGAGACGTGTGGCATTGTGCTAATAACACTCCTGACTCCCTCGACTATCCTCCATACTAGCCTCCGACAGCACCCTCCCCACCTGGCACTGTGCTGCTGGCACAGTCCCTGGTCCCTACTCAGACCATAACCCACACCCTGCACCCCCTGGACCTCCCGCCATCACAGCTTTACTAACTGGGGCCGACTCTCAGCCATACTCACCTTCTTTTGGACCAGTTGGTGAGTTCTCAAGATCTCTCCAAGAAGACCTTAGAGCTGGTGCTTTTAACTGTGAGGATAAAGTGTGCCCTCTGGACNGAAAAGGTTAAACAGGATTAAATATATGGTGGTGGAAGGAGACCTGATTTTGGCTAGTAAACATACAATACAATACACAGATGATGTATAATAGAATTGTACAGTTGATACCGATGTAATTTTATTAACGAATGTCACCTCAAGAAATTTAATGAAATAAAAAAATAATAAAAGAAATAAAATTACTACCTTGGAAATGAAAAGGGATATATATTATTCAAAAGTATGAAAAATAATCAGCAAATATATCTTAAGCAATAAGGAAATAATAAAAATAAGAGCAGCCTAAGAACTGGGAGAAAGTGCAATTCACACATCTTATAAAGAACTTGTAAATATATTTGATAAAGGACTGGCAAAGAGAAGATTATACAAAGAATTCCTACAATCCATTAATAAAAAGACAAGATAACCCAATTTAAAATGGGGAAAAGATATGAATAAGCACTTTTGACATAAAATATACCGTATGTAATTAGAACAAAGAATTGGTTGAATTTTTGCATATGTATAGACCAGTGAAACCATCACCACAAACAAGATTATGAGCCTATGGGTTTCCTCATGCCCTACAGTAATCCCTGCCCACCCCACTTACCCTGCCACCTCCCCAACCCCCCCATCCAGCAACCACTTGTGTGCTATGAGCAGATAGGCCTGGCAATCATTGCATGGTGTGAACATGTGAGGGGCTGAGGCCCAGACTCAGAGCTGACATCTTCCACTTCTGTGGAGGAGATGATGATGGTGTTCAGCGACATGGCAATTTGCTGATTCTAAATCCCAACTTAGGAAGAATTTTAGAAAATCAAGATGCTTTTTAACAGGAAGAAAGAGCTTGAGAATCATTGATTGCCTAAGACACTCCATTTTTTTATATTTGTTTATAAATATAGATGAGACTGCTCTTTTAAAAGCTTATGTTGGTTGGAAACCTCCTGGAAGTAATCTCAAACCGGCCCCCATAGTTCCTTGTACTATTCTCTTTGTGTGTAATAAAATGACTACTGAATACTCTATACCGAGCACCCTGATTAATGTTTTGTACATGATCTCATTTACTCCCCCAAATAGCCTGCGAAAATGCTAATTTTACTTTTCTAACCTTTTAAGCAGGAATATTGATGTGGCTGGAAAATGTTGAGACTCTTGCCCAAGGTCACGGTGCTAACAGGTTCTGGGCAGAGCAGGGATCCAATTCTAAGTCTGTCTGACCTACGCCTTCCCTCCTAA